AATTGACAATTGCTGATATAGTCATATTAGTCAATCACTCATGTAGTCATAACTCATATCTAAATAAGTAATTTGTATTTATGTACTAATCTACTAGTCAATTATACAATTTATAAGTTTACACGATTACAAGTGTATTTGCTTATAGGTACAACTAAACTGATATAAAATAACCATATAACTAATCCGTAGTACTTCTTACTCTCTAAGATATATGACGTCATTATATTATTAAACAGTGTTCGATTTTTTATTAATCGCAACGCTAGACATTTACACGCTAACCGATTCACATTTTATAATTTAAAGAACTTAATATTTTAATGTGTGTGTTAAAAAAAATTATAAAAGCTGATATTATGAAGGCATATTTCGTTTTATCGGGATTCGAGAAATGTAATTAGTTTTTTTTTGAAGCCATGTAATTAATTAATTGTATAAAATTTCGTTTAATGTTATTAAAATAAAATTAAAAATTTTGATTTTTACAAAGTGGAAAATTGATTTCATTTTTTTGGTTGACAATTTCATCAAAATATGAAAGGTGGGAAATTTCCCTCCAAAACTAAAAGGAAAAACAAATTTTAAATTTAGAATTTAGATATTTTGGTTGTTAAATAATTAAATAATATATTGCAAAAGAGGAAAAAAAAAAAAAAAAAAAAAACAGTGGTGAAACGTGAATTGAATTAGCCTGGTTAGGTCATCTCCTCTTCATTCATCATCTTCAATTCGCCGTTTTGCTCCACATCAAACACTGATTCTTCGGTTCTTCTTCTTCATCCTCAAGCGCTGAATCCTTACTCACTCTGAAGTTCTCCAGTTCTCCATCTTCAATTCTTCCTCTCCTTCAAGCCGTCACAGCTCAAGGTAATTTTCAGTTAATTTTTTTTTTTATTTCGGTTTTTTTTTCGATCTCGAGTTCTCCATTGTCGTTTTTTTTGTTCGATCTCCAGTTCTCCATCTTCAATTCTTCTTCTCCTTCAAGCCGTCACAGCTCCAGGTAATTTTCACTTAATTTTTTTTTGTTTTTATTTCGGTTTTTTGTTCGATCTCAATTTCTCCAAATGTAATTAGTTTTTTTTCGATTTCCAGTTCTCCATCTTCAATTCTTCTTCTCCTTCAAGCCGTCACAGCTCAAGGTAATTTTTCAGTTAATTTTTTTTTTTTATTTCGGTTTATTTTCGATCTCGAGTTCTCTATTGTCGTTTTTTTTGTTCGATCTCCAGTTCTCCATCTTCAATTCTTCTTCTCCTTCAAGCCGTCACAGCTCCAGGTAATTTTCACTTAATTGTTTTGTTTTTGTTTTTTGTTGTTCATATAATTCCTGAACTATAGACCAGGATGGCATATACTAATCACCCTCTATTATGAATATCTAAGGGACAGTGGGAGACAAATCTTGTGGTTATAAAAGCATTAGAATTTTTGTATGGTAGGGAACCCAATAAATCATTACACTATTTCAGTTTAAAATATCATTCTAATGTTATGATCAGGTATAAACACTAAAGAATTTTTGTGTGCTAATTATAGTTTAATGCAAGTTGGTTTGTTTCCAATAGAAAGAGAATCTTGTCATTTTAATCCATTGTTTTGACTTATTGAAGTAAATTAGATAAAGCAACTACTACTAATTTTAGTAATTTATAAATCTGGTAGTGTATCACTACTAAATAGTATGATTGGTTGGAAATTTTAGTGTGAAATAGTCAACACTAATTTGGTTCAGATTAGCTGGTTTAGTTTTGGGTGCATGGTATTAAATATTAATGGTTAATTAATAGAGTTATTTTAAGTTACAGTATATGTGAAAGTAATTTGCTTGCCAATTGATTTTAGTAATAGTGCCTTATTGGCTAACTTAACAGTTGTACTTTGTCTTCTTGGGGCATATTTGGATTTAGGCTGTTGTGTTTCTGTTTTTTTCAGCAATGGAGCAAGAGTTTATCGGTTTTGATGAGGATTCTACTATTCAGAATCAAGATTCTACTCAACATACCACTAGTGGTAGTAAGCGTGGACGAACATCAGATGTTTGGAGGTATTACACCTTTTTTGATAAGATGGTTGGTCTTGCGCCGATAAAATATGCTCGATGCAATGTTTGCGGTAATGAATATAAAACACCAGGTAAGGCTGGTACTTCAACTTGTAAAGCTCATACTAAGACATGCATGGGTAAAAATCCACACCATCCAGGAAATCATGAAATTGGTGTTGAGCTCCCGTTTAATCAAACTCGTCATTTACAATTGCTTGCTAGAGCTATAATTTTGCATTCTTATCCTTTAAGTATTGTGGAGCATCATGGCCTTAGGGAAGTTTTTACGAATCTGAATCCCAACGTGAACCATGTGTGTAGAAACACTATTTTGAAATATTGTATTGCTGAGCATGATAAGTTTAAGTCTTTGTTGTTGCAATCTTTATCTGGAATTGAAGGTAGAGTTAGCTTCACTTGTGACTTGTGGACAGCATGCACTAATCGAGGTTATCTCACTTTAACGGCACATTATGTTGATAAAGATTGGTGTCTTAGGTCTAAAATTCTGAATTTTCGTTATTGTGGTCCTCCTCATACTGGTGTTGAGGTAGAAAAATTTGTGTTAAAACTTATTGGGGAGTGGAACCTTCAGGGTAAAGCTTTTGCAATGACTGTTGATAATGCTCGATCCATGGATGTTATGGTTAACCTTTTGAAGAAAGATTTAATGTTGACTTCTCCTCTTCCTTGTAATGGTAAATTTTTTCATATTCGATGTTCAGCTCATGTCTTGAACATTATTGTTCAAAGAGGTTTAAAAGAAGTTGATAGTAGTGTTCAAAAATTGCGTGAGGTTTGTAAATATATTGATTCTTCAGACTCTAGACTCACTCAATTTGAGCATGCTCTTCATGAGGTTAACTGTGTGTTTAATGGAAAGTTACGTCTTGATGTTGTGACTCGTTGGAATGCCACCTATACGATGCTCCGAAAAGCTTTAGAAGCAAAGGAAGCCTTGAAATTGGTTATCGATAGGTTTATGGGTTATGAATTCAAACTTTCGGATGATGAATGGGATACCCTTACTAAAATATGTAATTTCTTAAAGCCATTTTATGAAATCACTGTGTTATTTTCTGGTTCAGAATATCCTACTGCAAATTTGTATTTCGCTAGTGTTTTAAAAATTGAGCACACAATAAGTAAAGCGCATATAGACCCTAAACTTGCACCCATGGCAAAAGTTATGCTTGAAAAGTTTGAGGGCTATTGGGATGAATATAGTTTGATCCTTTCAATTGCTATTGTTCTTGATCCACGCTATAAGCTTGTTCGAGTGACGAAGATGTTAAAAGTGCTTTATGTTGATGAGGCATGTGTTGAAAAGGCGAAGGTAATTAAAGATGCTCTTTTGGAGTTGTACAACTTTTATTATTCTATGTCTTTCGGTGTTACATCAAGTACAATTGTTCCACCCTCCATCCCAGCTGTTATCGATAAATCAAATAGTCACTTGGATGATGACATATTCAAGGTAATCAATTTCTGTTTATTGTGGTTTACAAAATTAATAATTGTATGTTTTAATTTTTATTATTTAATAAAGCATTTTGTTTGAACTTTTCTAGTATGTTGATGATGATGATGATGAGGATGGCCCATCAAATCGGCCATCGATGGAGATTGATTCTTATTTGTGTACTCCTCGGCAACCAATTTATGAAGGGCAGAAATATGATGTTCTCAAGTATTGGGAATCTCAAATTAGTGTGTACCCCATATTAGCTGTTATGGCTAGGGATGTTTTGGCCATTCCTATTACATCGGTAGCCTCTGAGTCTTCTTTTAGCATGGGTGGTCGTATTTTAAACAAGTATAGGAGTGCGCTTTTGCCTAAGAATGTTGAGGCGTTGGTTACAACACAAAATTGGTTACGTGGTTATGATTGTGATATTGAAGAAGACGTCCTTGACATTGGTAAAGAAGTGATAGATGAAAGTTTTGCATCTAGTTAAGATATGGAATTGTGGTTCAGGCTTTTGCTAAAATGTTTTAATCTCATAGAACAAATATTAATAGTTTTAATCACATTACATTATTGATATTTTGTTCCTTATTTGTCTTGAATTATTGGTTATTATTTTTGTTGTAGTTATATAATTCTACTGTAATGAGAGTCATCAAACTAAAAAAAAGTAGTAACGATTTGCTTGACAAATATTAAGAGCATTCTCACTGGCAACACAGGAACTGATAAAAGAAAGTAGAAGTTAATAGCCCGTTTCACTTTTATCTTGACCCTGACTTGACCTTTACCCGCAACGTACTCGCCCCGCTAATGACCCGCATTGACCCGCCCAATAACCACTCCTAGTAGTAAGTGGTTTGTAAATGGTTTGATTTATAAGCGATTCGGTTCATAAACATTTTGGTTTATAAGCGGTTCGGTTTATAAACGGTTCGGTTAATAATCAGTTCGGTTTATAAACGGTTCGGTTTATAAACAGTTCGGTTTATAATCAGTTCGGTTTATAAACGGTTCGGTTTATAAACGGTTCGGTTTATAACGGTTTTTATGGCAGTTCAAACGGTTTCGGGTTAGAAACGGTTCGGTTCATTTTCGGTTCGGTTTCCTTTCAGTTCGGTTTAGATTTTGGTTCGGTTCTTAAACGGTTTAACGTTACTCGAATCGGTTCGGTTTCGGGTTCACTAAAATGCGGTTCGGGTCGGTTTTCGGTTTAAAAAAAGCGGTTTCTAAACGGTTCGGTTCTCATTCGGATCGGTTTGAATCGGTTCGGTTTCCCCGGTTCGGTTCGGTTTTTGACAGTACTACTATAAAGTATAAAGTACATACTACGTATATCAATTCAAATATCTGACCAATAATATTTTTAATATTAACAATAAGTATTAATCTAATTATTGACACGATTAAGTTTTTAAGACCAAATTTTACCCCGTATTACTTACCCTGTATTACCAGTAAAAAAAAACGGAGAGAGTATATCAAAAACCTGAATGAGGACCCATATATCTTCCCAAGTTCCCAACAGTAAAACTAGAAGAAGAAAGTACATATTGTTATGAATGGAAATAGAAGAAGAGGAAAAGTTGAGACGGAGCATATACAAAGCATCAAGAAGCATAAAAAAGAGGGACAATACTTTGTATAATGCCTTACTCTCAATCTACCATGACTCCATTTTTGTCGGAGAGATTTCTCAACTGTGGCCTCATCTTCCTCTTGTTGCTAACCTTCGTTGCGGTCTATGGTATTCGCCTCGATTCGATGGCGGCACTTGTTACTTCAAATCCACTGATGGTCACTCCAATAATTGCTCTTTCAACACTTCCCGCCTCAATCTCCACCTTGCCCTCCTCGCCGGTATTTATCTAATTTTTGTACTCCGAAAGGAGTTTCAATGTTAATTAGTCATCGATTATTTAATTTTTTATATTGTAAATGTTATGTTCAATTGTTATACTTGTATCTGTTACACTGCTTTAAAAGATTTTATCAATTGTTTGATTAATTGAAATATGCTCATTCGTATGCTGATGGGGTAGGTTCTAGATTACGCCATTTTTCTTGAATCAGTTGAACTAATTATGGCTTTAGAACTCTAAAGATCATTATTTGGAGCCTGTTAATCTGACTTTTAATCCTTTAAACATTTAGTTTAGAATTATGAATGGATGGAAAAATGTAGAATTATAGACAAGCTCTGATGGAGATTACTAACTTAACCACAATTCTGGTTGAAAAATGGATTCAATGATTCATTTAGCAGTTTGGTTAAATTGCAGTGTGTTTTGTTGCGGAACTAGTTGCAGTAATATAGGGCTGCTTGAATATCGATTTTGATTGGAACAAAAGGTTTAAGGTGCTATGGAATATGGAGTTTTCGGTTCTTTAATAAAAGATATTATCAAGTCTGACTTTTGTGTTTTTACGGACTAGTCTAGCTGACGTTATTGTAGTGGTAATTGGATTCTTGGATGTCTAATACCAATGGATTTGGATGGAACTTGGAAGAGAATTTCTTCTTTTGCAATAATATGTTGTTAGTACTACTTTATGAAATATGTACATACTTAATACTACCTCGAATCACCCATTTCTGCTTCTATGTGGCATAAAGATCAAAATGTTGAGAACTTAAGATTGAATGGAAATTAATAAAGCGGATATTAAGATTATAATTGAGTGTAAAAAAAGGATGTGATTGGAGAAAGAAAGTGATTAAACAGGCCAAGGAAATGTGAAGTTTTTGTGGGATGCATCAAAAAGGAAAGTGGAAAGTTAAATGCTGGGAATAGGAGTAACCAGTAGAATAATAAGGGGGTATATGGGATTTGAAGACCTTTACTTCTCGAGCCTTGCTGTTATGATACCCTAACACATTTGTCGATGCTTTATAGAAGACTTAATGGAGGTGAGTAGGTGACTAAAAGTCCAAAAGATCCTAAGCTTTATAGAAGACTTAATGGAGGTGAGTAGGTGACTAAAAGTCCGAAAGATCCTACTAGTTTACTTGAGAGCATGAGATGTAATTTTGTTGGTCCAATTGTGTTCATGCTGTGTGGGTGTGTTTTTTTTTTTTTTTCTTTTTCCCAGCTTTAATTCATTTGAGAAAATGAATTATTTGTTGATGTTTTTTTAATATCATTGTGTAGGGAACAAAGGTGGGTGTATAATTGTTGATTCAACTCGAAAAGGGAAGCGATTTCCTGATAGCATGTCAAAGACTATACCTGTTTGGTCATGTGTATTAAATCGTGCTATTCAACGCTACAGAAACATGATACATGAAAATTTCCCTGATGCAAATAAGGAAAAGGATAAAGAAACTTCAACTGATTGGGATTGCAACCTACATCTACCTCTATGGGTTCCTAAGACAGAGAAGGCTTCTATTGAAAATCGCCTTGATGACTTTACTGCACTGTTGGAAGAGAGTGGTGCTGATATTGCTTCACTTGCAGCATCCTTAAGAAAACCTCTACGCCCCTTATGGATCTCCCAAAAATCTGTTATATGGTTAAATGAGGTCCCTGATCATGATTCTTGGGATTTCACACCTCTAATACTTGTTTCTGGATCCTCCTCGATTGGTTTTCTTCCACAAAGGACAAGCTCTGAGTTTAGTTGGAACTATATTCCTGGGGCAGGAGATGATGAAGAAAGTTGGGCTAGGGGTTTAACTCCCGACCTTTTTTGGAATCATGTGTATGACCTCATAAACTGCGGGCCTGATTTGTGTAACAAGAAAGTTTCCGAAATAGTCGAAAAGGATAGAGTATATCGGGCACAGCGAGGAGAAGACGCTCCTCAGATTTTGGTGAAGTCTCAAAAGTCTTTAGAGACCAATGGACATCACGAGTTTCCATTGCACTCAGAGTTTAAGAATATAAAAGTTGGCCTAAGTCCTTCCACTAAAAGGGATTCTTCATTATGTTGGTTGGGATTGACAAATATCGTTGTGAGCACAACTCAACTTGGTAACTAGTTTTTTTTTTTTTTTTTTTTTTTTTTTTTTTTTTTTTTTGTTTAACTTCAAGTCTAACTGTCTTACATTACCTAGAATGCAAGATAACTGAACCCCTCTATAGTCTTAGGCCTTCCATGACCTGATTTTGTTGTCTGCTACTTCTCCATGTCAATTTTAAGATATCCTTGTTCATTTCGCTATATACCTATAATTGTCTCGGCTATGCTCATTCTGAGCAGTTTGCTGTCCTTGATATTCTCTGCTTTTATTTGCTATCCATTATCCAGTAACATTCAGAAGACCAAGCTGCAGGCATTCTATTGAGTTCTTGCCAAAGCTATACTTTTCTCTAAACTTTAGTACTAAACTGTTTGAGAAATAGAGAAAAATGGATTCTCACGAGTATCATCAGAACATTGACACAACACACAAACTGGATTCATCTGCACTAATTTTCACTTTTCTTTCATTTGTAGCTGATGTGTAGCACATCACCAAACATCATTTCTCCTTTCTTTCATTTGTTACTGATGTGCTGCACATCACCAACCACAATGTAAACACAGTTCTGAATGTTTGTAGTATAATCACTGTCTTGTTTTTATGAATTGTGTTATCTTTGGCCAACTTCTTAAGGGTAATATCTCCATAACGACACTTATATTAAAACTTGAAATGGATAGAGTAGTAAAAAGTATTATGTCTTTATTTGTGCCGAGTTTCCCTGTTTCTGTGACATGGAGTCAATTTTTTCATAGTTTCTGTAATAGACTGATTCTCTGGCTTTGTATATTAGAATTAACAAGGCTAGTAAACAAAGATGAAAGCTTGATGTTTGATTGATAATGGCAAAAGAGGTTATCTCTCTTAGTAACTTGAGGTTACCATTCTCTCACATTCCGCAATACAAATCTCATGCCTCTCTCATTCCCCTACATTCCTTTATATATACAAGTAAGGACTGTAAAAAGGTCTAGCTAGTTTAATTAATCTTGTCTTTTTCTACCAAGAACCACTCTTCATGTCTCTCAATTACTTGCTGCTGCCTCCTTTATTCTCAGTCATTAATTGTATTGTCTTCTTGCGCCAGCTTGGCTTACCTGTCCCCCCTTCCCCTTCGTTGGTAGTAGAAGTGGATGGTTAGCTTGGCTAGGCCGAATATGAGGCCATTACACAGTTTCTCACGTGCTGCTTTATATTGTGTATCTATGTGGGCAGCTGCGACTAAACCAGATGTTGACAGTATACTGAATTGTGGCAAGGAGCTTCTCAATGTTGACCATTCATATGTTTATTTGCATCTGCCTATAGTGGTATGTATTGATCAATGACTTACAGATGTACTGCAGACTCCGTTTCATCTTAGATATATGTATGTGATAAGTGTATGAATTTGGAGTGCCAAATTTCTCCGTAGTAATCAATTAAAAGACTCTAAATGGCTAACATGTTTGCCATCTAGCAACTTTTGAATTGACAGTATAACCTTGTGTAATGCATAGGTTGAAGTGTGATCTTGGAAGGAAAAATAATTGACTTATTAATGTTTTTGTCTAGTGTTAGGCAGCTTACATTAGCCATTTAACCTCATTATTTACGTTATGATTTGAATTATGTAAAAAAAATATCCACGTTATTTTCACTTGGTCGTGTGTAGGACAAGAGTTAAAGGAAAATCTATCGAACTGAGTGACAATGCTAACAGCCTGTTTTTATTTTGGATTTTAGATTGATATCTAATAATTTTTCTTTTTGTTCTTTTTCCTCATTTTTCCTCTTTAATCAGAGCTCAAAGTTGGACCGATTTTCGCTGTTAAATAATCTTCCTTCAGCAATGAAGTTTGCTAGGTCAACTTTACTCCAAGCAAAATCTCTTTTAGTGTGTTGCCCTGATGGTAAGTGAGAATTTGCTTCAGTTTTGAAATTTATTTCAGCATAACAGAACATGGACACCATATTTAATGTTTTGCTTTTTGCCTTTGAAAATGCTCACTTAGGAACTTTTGTGGCATCAAATCAATCTTACTTGCACTGTTGCACAAGTTTTTGGGTTACTCAGCCTGTTGAGTCATATTGGATTTGGCAAAAAAAAAACAATGTATTGTTCAACAATGCATAGTTGTTCATTGCTTGTATTTCTTATGCCGCTCTTTAAGTCATCTTTATTTCAACTCAAACGTGTCTCTTCATGTCTAACCTTTTGATATGAAGTGAGTTGCGACACATAGGCACATCAACCTACTCAGATGATGCATAGCCCCGTGAAAAAAACTTGTTTCAAACTTTAAAATTGACACCTATTCCATATCCTCATATAACTTGAGGTTTCCATCAGATATATCACGCACTGAAGTGTCTATCTCTATCTTTGATTTAGTATACCATTGGATTCATATCATATTAGAGAGTTTCGATCAGTATTCTTCCGGCTTAAACAATTTTGCTCTATCAAAATTGTTCTATTTAGTTGATATTTGTGAAAGCACACCAACTATTGTGTGTAAATTTTTCAGGAGAAGACATCAGTGTATGTGTTTGCCTAGCAATCTTAATCTCCTTGTTTACTGAAGACGGTACATTCTTCTCTTCTTTCTCTATGACGTACATCAGTTGTCATATACAATATAAAAAACTCATGTCAAATATTGTATGTACTACTAGTCTTTGAATTCAGTAGTAGTGAATTATTAGTGTTTACAGTCAAAAAGCTTATTGCTTGGCACTTTGATGCACAGGATCTTTTGACAATGGGAAGTCTTTTAAAGAGACAGAGATTTCTAAATGGGAAATGAGGCGACGACTTGTATTTATGTGTAAGTTTTCTACAAATGCAAGGCCATCCAGAGGGAATTTAAGACAGGTCTTTTGTTTTCTTAAAAGTGGAACAACCTCTTAGAGCAAATTTTTGTAATGAACAATCTTCATAAATTTTAATATGTATTTGTTGTATCAAGACATCAATCTTTTTATCGCGATAATTATACAAGATAAAAAGAGAGACACAAAAGACATCGTGAGATACCATTGACGACTAATCTTTCTAATTATGCCATTCACTTGCTTATTTATTTTGATTGCAGCATTCTTTATGTACCACCTTGATCAATCTTATTCATCACTATAGCTCATTCATCTTTTGTAGCCAGAATTACTCTAATCACTATAGCTCATTCATCATTCACCTTGAGACTTGAGTACTATATATGCTGATGGCCTTTGAATGTTGCTATAAAGTTGGGTTTTCTACTACCCTTCTATATTATTGTCTCTTCACTATGTTTCATGGATTTTTGTCTCCTTGAGTTCGGTTTTCAAAGCTCAGCCTAGTTTTGCAGCCAACATCAATGTTAGGGTTTACTGGTTTAGTTCTTTCTCTTCCGTACAAGTAGTCACGTACCATACGAGAACTCAAAAAGTATGCAACGAGTAGTTGAGTAGTAGTGCGAGTAACAAAAAGTTGCTCATGAAAATGCTGTTATTTTTCCCCCTTTATCACCCATGTTGGGCCTTCAACAAGAATCATATGAATTCACAACACTGCCCCAACTAAAATCTAGGCAAAGATAGCTTATAAACAACAATTCTTGAAAGGAAAATTCGTGAGAAATGTTCTTTTAAGTAGATTTTTTTGTTATAAAGGTCCTTTTTAAAAAAAAGTGACACAAAAGGTCATTTTATCGCACTTAGGTTGCGACGAGAGTCTTTTGACCGGATTCCGACAATTGACTTTTTTTTTTTCGACCAAAAAAAGTCGAAAATCTATTTCTATCCCTTCCCCCCCTTTTCCCTTTATTAAGCCCTAACTAATATTTACCCCGTGTAATGCACGGATTAAACTTTTTGATGAGATGTTTTTTAGTGAAGGGTTGATTAAAGAATTATTGTATAAAAGTTAATTTTCGTATGAATTTTGAAAGAACAAACTAATTGTTTGGGAAGAAATTTAAGAGGAATGAAGTGTCATTTATTCATTTGGGAATAAAAACATTAATATGAAAGGCATATATTAAAAAAAAATTAAAAAGGTTGAAAAACAAAAATGACACGTGGCACTCTAAATTTCTTTTAAGTTTTCTAGTTATTGAGTATGGATTTCTTCATCATCAACCTCAAGAAATTGTATCTTCTCTTGCCCCCTCTATAAATACAAGTATTACCTTCGTTTATTTGTGAAATATAAAATATTCCAAAGTTACAACTAATATGAAACAGAGGTAGTAATAATAAATAAGAAGTCGCTACAAGCTACCAATTTCCTAAAAAAAAAAAAAAAAAACCTACCAAATTGTTTTTTTTAACTAGTTCAACGACAAATTTTGACCAATTTGGGATGTTTGGTACATGGGAATTGAGGGTGGGAATAGGAATTTTAATCACAATTCAGAAAAAATTTCTTGTTTGTTAGATGGGATTGGAATAAAACTGGGAATGGAATTGGGAATAAATGGGGTGAATTCCCACCATTTTATTACCTAGGGAGGGTTAGGTAATAAAATGGTGGGAATGGAAATAATTGGAAAATGACATTTCTGTCATCAATGAAAAGAAGGGAGGAGAAAGATTAGTAAGGGTAATTTTGTATTTTTGTTATTTATTCCCTACCTATTCCCATTCACCACCCAAACAAAGTATTGCCATATTTTTATATATTCCCAACCATCTATTCCTAATGCAGTAATACCATTCCCGCGTTTTAATCCCCATAATCCATTCCCAAATTACAAACGCCCTGTTTGGGTATGATACGGCAGTTGAATGATTCTGACGACGCTGGTGATGATGATGACTGCCTTTCGGAACAGATCGTATCGAGTATGAATCGGGTACAATTGCATGACGAAGACGGGAATTCTGATAACGAGGAGTCCGAAAGTGAGAAAGAGGAAACGGAAACGAAGAGCAAGACAGCCGCTTATGAACCTCTGTTAGTTTCCTCTCTATTTTTTTATTTATTTTACTTAGGGTTCATTGTTTATTATTTGCTACGAGTATTTCAATTTCGATTCTGGTTCGTGGCTTACGAGTATAATTCAGATGATGATTGTTGATTTGATTTTTTGTTTCTTCAATTTTTATTAATTATTCATTCTTTTTCACAATTGATTGACGATTCTGTTTGAATGATGTTATGTTATCTACCCTGTATCTTATTTTTTCTGATTTCTTTCGAATGTTGTATCAATTTTGTTTAATTTTTTTTTTTAATTCTAATATGGATTTATTATGGTGGTTAATTTTTTTTTGAAAAGCTAAACGTCGCCTTCGAATATCTAATTAATCCCCGCAAAATAAATAAATTTTACAAGTTTACTCTTATATTTAAAAAAATTTACCCCCTCAAACATAATTTACCCACCCTCACTCCCTCTTCTCTCTCTAAACCACCACCACCACCTCCTTTTACCACCCACTACTACCACCACCATCACCTCCTCTTTTAACCACCAACCACCACCTCCTCTTTTAACCACCAACCACCACCTTTTTTAACCTCTGATTTCTCGATCTACACAGCCGCGGATATGACAAGGGGAAGACGGTCGTCGGAGACAAGGTTTGTTTTTGTTTTTTTTTTTATATTTTTTGAAATCGAGTTCAAACGCCCTGTTTTTTCGAACAATCTAGGCTCAAACGCCTAGTTCGTTCGAACAACCGTATGGTTGTACGAAAGATCTGGGCGGTTGAGATGAAACGCTTAGAAAATACGAACAACCACAACAATAAAACAAAAAAAATTCGAAACCCAGGCATACGCCTAGGATTTTCGAAAACCCTAGGGTGAAATGCCTAGTTTTTTCGAAACTTCCTAGGATGTTAGAAAAAACTAGGCGTTTCACCCTAGGGTTTTCGAAAATCCTAGGCGTTTGCCTGGGTTTCGAATTTTAAAAATATTTTATCAGAACACATCGAGTTCATACGGTCCGACGAGCTTTCGGCGAGTTGTGTTTCCGGTATGTAGTCGTCGTCCATAAGATCCAATAAATTTGATGTTGCAAAATTTAAAAATTTTGTTTGATTTTGAAAATCAAAGTGGTTGGTCCGATGATCGTTGGTGGCCGTTGACCACTGGAGAGAAAGGTTAAAAAAAATTTGTACGGTAAAAGTGTGAAATTAAGGTAAAATTAATTATTTTAATAATCGTTATTATAAAGATAAGTACGTAATTTTATGTTAATTTGCGGGCGTTAGTTATATATTCGAGGGCGATATTTAACAACCCTTTTTTTTTAAGTTCAATCTGTTAATTTGACCAAAATTTTTAGTTCTCCTTGGTTTCTTTTTCTCTGATTTTATACAAATTTAATTTTTTCTAAAATTCTAATATGGATTTATTCATTTTGCAGTTGGTCAGCTGACGGTGATAGCAGTGACATCAGTGATGACGAAGAATTATATGAGTAAACCCCCAATCACACTCTAATTTTTGTGGCATTTTTTATGCATAGATAGATTTTTTAACAACTATTAATTGTTTAGAAACCCCTAGAATCAATCTCTTACTCCTAAAAGTCACACTAGAATGAGAGGAGGAGAGAAAATGTGACATCAAACATACCCTTTATCCGGCCATAAACGTATTTTTGATGTGATTAAATGACAAACTTTCTTGAGATTAAGATTAAGTTCTAAGTTTACTTTTTGCTTAGCAATTTGTTATTTTTTTTTCCTTAACAAAATTAATATTCAATTTTGAACTATATCAAATTTAAAAGAAAATCCATTTTTAAAGTGAATCAAACAGTACGTAAGGAGAAATAAAATTCGTTTTATGAATGAACCAAAAATGTTGATGTTAATATGGAGTTATGATCTTATGAATCCATGTCTTCGTTAGGACTTTAGTGAACTAAACAAATTCTTATTGTTTTTTGTATGTAGTAAGGTCGTAAGGGTGCGTTCTATTCACCTGATTTTACTTATCTAATCTTATATGCCCTTTTTAGAACTTACTAGATGGAAGCCCGTGCGATGTACGATTTTTTATACATAAATCTCATGAAAAAGATTTTTTTCTTAATTAACCCTATTATTTTTTTTATTATTTTGCTTGTTAGAAAACGGATAATTTGTTTTATTTTTATGCAACTTATAATGCGACCTTAATTTACTAATATTAGTTGTATGAAAATTATAAGTATGATAGATATTAGAATAAAATCATAATCCTGTTCGTAATTTTTTAACCTATGATTCGTTTGTATAACGAAAACACGTTGTTCCACTATACATATATAGTTATAGAATTACTATTTTTCTTTCACAAACAATAACTTAGACCACCATTATTCTTTTACTCCGTATCAACTTTATACAATGAAAAATTAATAAAGTAAACCCAAAACTATAGAGTTAAAATAAAGACGGTGGGAGTAATAGTAAAATATATGACTTTATAAATTTTTAAATAGTTAAATGAAATATATATATATACTACCAAGAGTGTTGCATTACTAAAATTAATCTAATTGAATAAAATTAAATCTTTATAATGAAATTTCATTATCATATGTCTTAATAATAGAGTTATATGTATACACTACTACAATGATTTTTACAATAATAATATAGATATTCTACGAGAAACTATAATACACAAAAAATAAAAATTATCAGAGACATCTCTTACAATCTTTAATTTTTTTCCCTACTATTGTAACATTATAGTTGACTTAGGGTCTGCTCTGATTTACTGAACTGAGTTGAGGTGAACTGAACTGATTGAAGCTGAACTGAACTGAACTGAATATTTTATGAGAGAAGGAAATTAGGAACTGAACAGAACTGAACTGAGAATAAGCTGAAGAGAACAGACCCTTACTTTTCCAATAATTTCTTTCAATTGGCGCATGGACATAATCCCTTCAAATACAAAATAATTAATATTAAGTTACAATTAAGTTGTTTAACAAAATTTAATACGATAAGTGACATTATTAGATTAGGTAAAATAAAACAAAACATACATCTTATAAAATAATGAATAACAATCAATTTATTTTGTTTACCATCAAAAAGCCTTGATATACTTACATTA